TTAATTCTCATTTAATTTGTACAAATAATATTAATGGGAAAACTATTTGATTTTACCTTTTGTATAATAAATTTGAATTAAAGTTGGAATAAAGTCCAAATCTATAATTATAACATCAAATTTATGTTTGGATTATATAATAATATATGGTATTAAATTAAAAATGACAAAACAAATATTAAGGGCAAAATTTGCATAATGTGTAACTTTTATTGTGAATTGAAATTTGTAAAGGTAATAACGTCATTTTATTTTTAATACTTAACTTGTTAAAAATAATACCACCTGTCAGATGATATTTATTAATACCTAATATTAAGTATTAAATGACAATACTAAATCGGGTTAGGATTAATAAGAAAGTAATACCGAATCACTATATCCCAAGTCAAACGTAATATTACATTATCACCAAATTAAATTAATCCAACTCAATCTTTTAATACCGCATGTTTAACACTTCATCTGGCTTCTAATAATGGGCTTCTCCTCCTTAACACCTAAAAAAAAAAAAAAGTTTCGCAAACAAAGAAAATTTAATTCAATATGCATAAATTTATAGGTTTCAGATTCTCTCTAATAAGTTATGTAGGGATCATTTTAACTATGGTAGATAAGATCACCCAACGTATAATCGTAAAGGACTCCCTTATCTATAATAGTAGGTCCTAAGAAGGGTCAATTTTTTTTTTTTTTTTTGATTCAACGGTCAAAAATATTTTGGTTAATTTACACGTTTTTCAATTAATTCTTTCTTTGGTCTAGTCAAAGGTAAGTTATCAACGCCAAAACTAGGATATTCATGAGGAATTTATCTTATATGACCTAACTTCAAAAAATTATCAAGATTTGGATTTAAGACTGTCTAAATTTATAATTTATCTTTATTATGACTTAAGTTATCTTTACGATTTAGGAAGGATGGTTTACCAAAAAATATGGTAGAAGCCATCAAAATCCTTAACCTAGAAGGCCATTGGGCATTTATGTTTTTCAGCCTAGTATTAATCCACGTCGTTGTCTTTATGTCGCACTTTGTGCTAATAGTGTGTGATATTGGGCACTTCATGTTTTCTGAGTTGCTTATCTTTCCTTTTCATTCCAAAATTATTTGATACCCCTTTTCTAAAGCTCATTGATGCCTGATGGAGTACCTGTTCTGTTATTTATCTTTTATAAATTGTCAAGCATCCATTTCCAAAGAAAAAAGTTCATTCAGTGTAACCAATCACTAAAATGTTATGTCTATGGATTCGAACTCGAGATCATTCAAATGACAAAAACTCGATATTTTTAGCTATCAAATTAGACTTTTGTTTCGTTTTTTATTTACTGGGTATTGTTTGCGGATGATTACATAAAAATTTGGAGTTAAATAATGCGATAATGGTTTTTTTTTGGGTTAATTATAATTTTTCTCGTCCAATTATTCCTCTTGTTGCAGTCAATTCAATGTGAATTCAAATGCTGCAATATAACCCTTTCAAGCCTTTCAAGTTTCAAGTAGACTAAATTGATTAACAATAGTGGTTAGGGGTGTCCATGGACCGAGCTAGACTTATGAAATTTTTTTGGGTCGGGCCTGGATAATGTAGGCCCAAGTCCTTACCCAAGTAAGTTATAGGGCGGCGGGGCGAGGCAGGCTTCGAGTAGGGGTAGACTACTCGCAACTCAACTCGTGAACTTATTGGGCGGACCTGCTTGCAGACTTTTTCATATACAACTTTATTTAAAAATAATGAATATTTTTGTAACTTAATATATGTGTAAATTATATTTTTGAGTCAAAAATAGAGTCAAAATTGTTAAAAATAAAATAATGAATAATTTTATTTTTAATTAGGGGATGAACTACATCCACTATAATGAATATATTCTAACTAGAATGACAAAATACTCATCTATCTATCATTTGCATTACTCTACTCTTTTAACACTTGTATGCTTACTACATGAAAAATAAAATATTACATTATTTATAGTATCTAAATTTTTAAAACTTCAAATTCTGACATTCAGAGATTTATATTAAAGTTTCAAATTTAATAGTTTAAAAGTATAAAAAAATTTCAAATGATGGGTGGGCGGGCTATGTGGGGCAGGTTGGGCTTGCGGGGCGGGCTTGATTGACGGGCTCTTGGGCCAAGTTTCGAGCGGGATAATGAATTTAGGGGTAAATTCAAACTCTCTTTTTAAAGATATATGGGCTCGGACTCAAATGGGTCTATCGTTTCTATTTTTTTCGAGTGCGGTAATGGTACCCATGGATAATCCGGCCCATGGACACCCCTAATAGTGGCTGAAATATGAAAATACAGTTACATTTTCTATCTTATACATTACTTTTTATTTTTTTTCAGAAGATACAAAGTATGTCTATAAAAAATAAGAAAATAGAAAAGTGAAGAGAAAAATACATCCATTCAACCCAAAACCAACATTCTACACAACATGTTTGCCTTCATTTTCACCTCCGCCTCAGCCTTCTACCAACACCAATATGCACACATACATACATCCACACTCTTTTCTAGGGGTAGTTATATCATTTCAACAATATTAGAGATCACGTAAATTTTTTATATCTAACTTCCCATCATTTTTTATAATCTAAAATTAATTGTTAGTGTTAATTATAAAATATTTAGAATTAAAAGGAATTATTTATTGAAATTAAAATTTAAAGGAGTGAATGTTAAACAACTCAATATTGAAGGGGACATTTTGTAATTAACCCCTATTTTTTTTAATAAAAATAAAAAATATATATATGGTTTTCTGTAGACCTTCGTGCTGGTGATGGCATTAAATAGTGAACCAGCTTGCAATTTTTTGGATTAGGGAGAAGAAGTCAATCAGACAACTCACTCACTCCACTAGATTCCAAAATAATGGCATCAGATAACTATTTGACTCGGTCTTTTATTTTAAATTTATTTTTTAAAAAAAATTTATGTAGCATTGCTCATTTGTATATATATGTTTTCATTAAAACTGAAAAGGACTCTTATGTCTGTGCATTTAAGTTTATCATGGAGATAAGATAGTTACAATGTTTCCCTCCCCAGACAAAGAAATGAAAAGAGAGAGGCAATGAAAGAGAAAGATGGGATGGGATGGGATGGGATGGTTGGCTTCTAGCAAATAAGTTTTTCCAGTATAATACAATTCTATTGCCACCACAATCAAACAACGGAAGGTAGTAGTAGATCCAAAGAAGTAGTTAGTATCGTAACACATTTTCAATACAAATGAATACTTTAGTACAGAAAATTAATAACTTAAACGTCTCGATTTAATTTAAACTGATATTTACGGTGAGAATTGTCAACCAACAACCGGTGCGTGATTTGTACAAAGTTGGGGCTTCGGAAAGTATACGGTTGACACAAAAGCGACACAATTGCGATTCTAGCTGCTCAAATGTTCATGTTGTGACTGGTTTGACCCAAATTCAAAAACTCAAGAGACTTTGCCAAGTAGTATATGTTAACAGTGAGATACTGCTACATTTATGGTTGCACAATTTTCATTTTGGTGATGAGTTGAAACGATCCAAATTCATACAATTCTCCTCCTTCTTTATGGGCTTAGAGAGAAGGTAATGTGATGCAAGTGCTGCATAGAAATTTCCACCAGTTAGGCACTTGGGCTGGCCCAATAGACTACCTAACCACACATGACTAGGGATTCAAATGGTATTCACCATACTTTCTCTTCAATTTTCTTCTTAGTACATTTATCTATTATTAATAAGTGAAAGACCCGCTTAAATCCAATGGATTCCACTTGAATGCATAGTGGATGATTTTCCAAGAATTTTTTTTAAACAAAATGTATTGGAGATGATTTCATTCCACAGGACCAAAGGGTCACTACATAAAAATATGTATTTTTTTAATTAAACCTCGTCAGTGTGAAATCGGTGGGGGCATATGTATTTAACTCCTTCAAATGTTTTTTGATTATATGAATCTTAATCATAAAATAAAAGATGTACGCAAATTACATTTGGAAAATGAATAAGAGGGGGAAAAAAATCTCCTAAAACAATGCGGCAGTTTGTGCCATTATTTTTCAAATGTTATTTAATTCTATAAATCTATACATATTTTTGAAATATTTCATACTAAAAAGTTAATATTGTTCGCCTCCGAGGGCTATTGTTTCTAAAATTGGACTTGCTCCGGCAATGTTGGGCCAAAAAAATATAGGCCCATCTATAAATTTCCCAAAAAATAAGTGTACAAAAAAAAAATTAATTTTTTTTTATTAATTTCTTATAACAACTGACGTGACACAACCACAATTTGTCATGCCAGCAGAGACAGGTTGTACATTGACAACTTGCACGACGCCGTTTGGCATAATTGGAACTAGGCCTAGGTGATTCGATCATAACGAGTGTAAGTTTAATTTAGCAGGTTGGTGGACTCGCCTGATCATAATAAAAGAGTTGTATTTTGGTGGAGTAACTTAATTATTGTATCACCTAATTATCTATTTAGTAATTGATATAACTCTCCATTATTACACAATTACCCAAATCCCCCAATTACTCATTTAATAGATGATTAATTTGTTTAAAAATTATAACTTTTAATTAAAAAAAATATTGTGTTGTAGAATTAAAGGGTAACATGATTCTTGTAATGTAACTAATTAATAAATAAATTGTGTTTAATTTTTTAATTTACACCCATTTAAATAAATGAGAGGAACACGAATTGAGTGATTTTCATATGAGTCGGTTAAATCGTGACCCATTGCCCGACTAATCCGACCCAATTGCCAAGCCTAAATTTGGAACTTCAATTCCAACGTAAGAGGACACGTCGGTCATTTGGAAAAACAATAACCGCCTTTTCAAATCCGTGACAATGCGAAACATATGAGTAGGCAAGTCAATATCAATTCAATTCCAATTTGCGGTTAGGCAGGTAGGTACTCATTCCCCTTCAGTTGCACACACATTGAGAGAGAGAGAGAGAGAGAGAGCAATGACCCAAGAGGCAGAAGGGCAACACGATTTGACTCTTCCCGACGCCGCCGCCGCCGCCGCTACTGGGGAGGTCGAAGGCGGTGTTGATGGCGATGGCGACGATGGTGGTGGCGCCGCTGCTGGTAGAGTTAAGGGGCCTTGGTCGCCTGAGGAAGACGCGATTTTAAGTCGACTGGTGAGTAAGTTCGGGGCGAGGAATTGGAGCTTGATCGCGAGAGGAATTCCTGGAAGGTCCGGCAAGTCCTGCCGTCTTCGGTGGTGTAATCAGCTTGACCCTTGCGTTAAGCGCAAGCCTTTTTCTGGTAATACTCCCATTCACGATTTAGTCTCGTTTTCGCTCTTCCAAGTGTACATGTTTATGGGTTTGTGTTATGCTTTTGATCTTCTGATTTTGGATTTGAAAGTTTAAGGTTTTGTGCTTTTTTATTTTGGTTAAAGGTTGATTCTATGGGTGAAGTAGTCTCTAAGTTCATCAATGTTGATGTTAATCGCTTCGCCTTATTGGTGGAACTGGTGGGATCTTACTGTGGCACTGATATTGTGTATAGTTGAATGTGATCATATTCTGTGCTTGTTGATCATCCCAATATAATGTGGGGACAACATTCTAGATGCATGTTAATAGTCCATCCAATGGTTATAAGTTATCGCGCCCCCCCCCCCCCCTCCCTCCCTCCTTCTCCCTCTTTGTATGCCCTCGTCCAGGGTATGTTTTGAGTGTGTGTGTGGATAGCTGTGTGTTCCTATGAGTTTGAATAGTCTCATAGCAGTTCTAGTGGTAATCAAAGAAGGAACTCAACTGTTCCAGGGCATCCAAATGGTTGCTTGCTAATGAAATTAGGCGGGGTTATAATGATATAACATCTCTCTACTAATTTTGGTGTTCACTTCATTAACTTTTGAATGCTCATCAGGAATATTCATGTTTTGTCTTCTGCATATTTTTTTGGACTAACTTCTTATTCAAACATTTATACAAACAAGCAATTGATGTCACTGGTTTTGCCACCTGAGTGAACAAATGGTTTAATGATTACAACTGGTTTGCTAGTGTAACAAAGAACCATTGAGTAAATTTATGGGAAGTGTAGACTATTTCCATGCACTAGAATATGAAACAGAAGGAAACTACACAGGAACGATTTGTCTACCCTAAAAAAAAACCTTCTACTACAGGAAAAGATTGGTTCATCTCCTCCTTTATCCTAGTCTAGAAATCTATGTTTCTTGTGGGTTCAATCTTTTTCTTTAGGAAGGTCTTTTATTACATGCCTACAGATACATGCCTTATGGGTGTCAAATTTTGGAAAAGCTAGATCCTGTTGGAGAATTGTCAGAATCCCTGATTGAAGTGATAAAATCTCTTGCCCCTTTCTCATCAATATGTTAACTAGGCATTCGGGTCATTAGGATTAGGTGCTTGGTTTATGGTCACATTGACATGAATAGTTGAGGAACCTTTCCTCAGTACACAGGCTCTTTTCCCTTGTCATATTTATATATTTCTTGACTAACTTGGTCTATATACACTATGGCCAAGAAGGGCAGTTTTGAGAAGGTTTCATGTCCGTGTTGGACATCACAACTTTAAGAGGTGTTGCTGCCTTATGCCATACCTACTTCAAGATTGAAGAATAAAGAGAGGAAAAGGCAGATTTTATTTTATTTTTATATAAACAGAACCCTGACAAATTTATCTCCTGTTAGAAAATCATTGTTCTTTTTTATAATTTGCCAGTTTAATAAAGCTCATTTATTTTTTCAGTATTCACTAAGCCACGCATTAGTACAATTTTGCTCTCTCGAAAATTTTATTTGGACCCAAGCATAAATGTCAACATAGTGTATTTATCCATTCAAGCTCATTTGGCCTGGAAAGTATGGTGAGGAGCTCTGGTAAATAGGTCTGGTAGTCTTACTTCTGTCCTTGGTGAATCTGTGATAGTTTCGGTAAATGAGATTCTTGTTTTGATTTAGTGAATGTATAATTGGTGCAATGTAATAAGGTTTTCTGCTGGAGGATTGTTAAAGCATTGATGCTTAGAGATAACAAAGGATTTCTTATGCCGATAAAATGTTGGAGGATACTGAGTCCAAATACTGAGTCAAGAGATGTTCAGAGAAGTTTCTTGGGTTCTCTTGTTTGTCAATGTAATTGGATATACTTACAACAAGAACGAATGACCTTTTCCATCATATAAGTTTCTCAATGAAATGATTTTAGAATTCTTATAGTGGACTGGTTCTTCTTTGTTGTTTCCTGTTTAAAGGTTTGCAGAAAGGTCTTTAAGCTGTGTGAAGCCTATGCACATCTTTTGCAGTGATTTAAAACCACTACAGATTTAACTGCATGTCAAAATGATACCGTAAGCATTCATCATGAATTTGAGAGGACTAAATAGTGGCATGGCACAATTGGTCATTCGTCCAGATGATTGTCATTCAAATAGTTCCAAGGCATAGTAAGTAGGTAGCCAATCCAAATGCTTTTTATCTTGGGATAAATGCAGTTCGAGATGGGGAGATATTCCATACGTGGTGGAAGCAAAAAGTAGACCGCAAAGTGGAACCTTAGCAGGACTTAAATTTATTTGAAACTTATCCATATAGTAGTTCGAAGACTCAAAATATTGTACTGATAGCTGTGTGAGGACTTATTCTGCACAATTAGTTTATTGATCAATTCTGCACCTCCATTGAGGTCTCTAATACTGTCAAGTTGTTTCACCGGAAGTGTTTTACTGTGGCAGGAAAACCCCAGCTCAAAAATTTGCTAATGGTCTTATAGTTTATTCTGTTTGACTAGTGGTTGGTTTTGACAAGTTATAGAAATATGTCCAATGCGGTAAGTGGTATACTATACTGCATTCATACCTGAGAACTGGTGTAATAATTTTTTGGTGCATATGACTTTTTTTTTTGTTGTGTTTCTTTTTACGCCCATTCCGTATTTCTTTTTTTTTTCTTCTTTCCTATTTTTGTTTCTTTTTTGGGTGGGGTGGGGATGGTTGGGTGGTTGACAATGTTGATCTTGGGTTATTCAACAGTTAAATCGATTAAGAACTCATATATGCCTATATCTATTTTTTAAAAGGAAGAATTATCTGCATTATGTCATCTTTTTGATACTATGGCATGGTAGAAAAAGTGTAGAGCTAATAGGTAAAAGTTTCATATTCGGGTGTAAGGAAATGTATATAAATTTGAAGACCTGTTTTCTACTGAGCTATAGTATCTGCACCTTCAGGCTTCATTTTATTTTTTGGGGTCTTGGACATTTCAGCTAAAATTACTTGGTAAATGACTGTTTGGATAAGCATGTATGCATACCATGTCATTGCAATTTGATTTGGGTATTCATTTTCTCATTCATGACAAGATGAGTACGGTGGATAGTTGTTATTTATGATGAGGTCTTATGGAACACAATTTGCTGCAGATGATGAGGATCGCATTATTATAGAAGCCCATGCAATTCATGGAAACAAATGGGCTTCAATTGCGAAAATCCTGCCTGGTAGAACAGATAATGCAATTAAGAACCACTGGAACTCTACACTGAGGCGCAGGGGCATGGAGCCCAGCAGGTTTAAACCGGCATCTGGAAGCATGATGGAACACTGCAGCCTCGACAAAATTAAGGCATCTTCAGAAGAAACCTTGTCAAGCGCTGAAATTAATTCATTCAAATCTTCAAATGGAAGAGATGTGAGCAAGATGGACATTAGACCCAACCAATGTGAACAAGAAGCTCAAATAAAGGAGGATGATAATGTGGCTGAAGAGAACCATCCCAATCTTTCTGAAAAGAACCATCCCACCTTTTCTGAAAAGACACATCCTACCCTTAGTCGTCCAATAGCGAAAATTGGTGCATTTGATATTTATAATCCTCCATGTGGAGCAGCAGCTGGCACTGTGCATTCAAGGCCTGTCCCGATGCAGGGGCCTATGATCCAGGCCTGCAAACCAGATTTTGGGATAGGCAAATTTCTTGAAGGTGTCAGTGGTGAGCCGATGATTCCTTCAAGATGTGGTCATGGTTGCTGTGCAACTCCAAACGGGGGCCTTTCTCAGAGCTCATTGTTGGGGCCCGAGTTTGTTGAATATGAGGAACTTCCCCCCTTTTCAAGTCACGAGTTTGCCACCATAGCTACAGATTTGAACAACATTGCATGGATTAAAAGTGGCCTTGAAAATGCTGGCACTAGTGTACCAAACAATTCCATGGGGGAAAGAGGGTCTCAAGATGCTTCAGTGCAAATGGGTATTTTTAGACAGAGCATGAAAAGTGATCACTTCTGCTTTGAGGAGGGACGGAACAAGTTGATGGGCATGATGACAGACGTGTCTACCCAGATACCTATTGCAAATTTTGCATTTCCAGCTGAACTTGAAGGCTTGAGCTGAAACCTATGAGTTTTTTCCTTTTCAGATTGGTGTTCTACTTAGACCAGCATAGAAACTATGGCAAGCTGTAGGTTTGACCTTGCAAAGAGGCATTTTCTTTGCTGCGGAAAAGATGATGAACCTTTTGGTTTTTGTTAGTGTTTTATGTCCACTATTTAGGTATGGTTTCCATGGTTGATGCGTAGATTGTGACCATTGGAACGATATGAACTCGTCTAATTCTAGTACATCAGTGTTCCCCTCTTGCAAGTTATGTATAGAGACAGTCATCAGCTGAGTTTCAAAGCTTATTTTTCATTTTTCTCTCTTATTAATGGACCTTTTGCCAATTTTCTCACATGGCTCTTATCTAATCTGCAGAACACCTCGCCAGAACTAGTGAATTCTGGGTGTCCATTTGGAGCACTGGCAGAGGTCATAAAGGAGGGTGTTGTGTTGTTTATTAGAGTTGGTTGAATTTTTTGCCTTTCTGGTAAGGACATATGCTTTAGATCCTGTATTTACAGAAGAAATGTCTGTTTATTAGGCTAATCACATAACTAGACAAACGATGTTGGTTTATTTTTGCTTATCCCATTTGGTGTTAATATCCATATTTAGAGAAAAATATTGCTTCAGTATCGTGGGACATGTTGAGTTCGAGTCTTGTTGATAAATATCGGAATACATTGATGAATCCAATATAATCCAAACATTGGGAGATTTCTCGTCATAGAAATAGTACTCTAAATATTGTTTTTATGAGTTGGATGTATTATTGAGCGAACTACCATGTCTCGTGTATTGTGAAATAATTTTTCTTTTAAGTATTGAGAGAATTATTTCTCTTGAATATGTTAGTCTCGTTGTAGATGATCTGTCTTTGATCTAACAGGGAAGAAGATTAATCGAGATATGTGTAAGTTGACCTAGACACCCTTGAACGTTGAACCAAAAAAAAAATCTTAATCTTCTCTTTCTAATAAAATTATGACACTAGAAAAATTAAATATTTGTCTCATAAAATAAAATAATTCTCAAATATATTTTAGAGCGTCGAATAAAAGGAGGGTATATTAGTAAATTATAAGTGACGATCAACACAATTTTGAATTTTTTGGGACCCAAAAAGATGAGTAAATATCGGGCGTAATCGATCACGTCAGCATTATTTACATCAAAATAAATCTCTCCCCGTGACTCCCGTCATCTTTAGTCTCCGAATGAGTTGTAAGTGTTTGTCTCAGTTGATTTTTCATTGATGCCATTCCACGAGATGCAAGTAATATGGAAAGGAGGCTGAAACAAGATGGAAGAGACATGGTAGGAGGGCTGGAACGAAATCATGCAAAACGGTGGATAAATAAAATATTTAAAGTTTGGCAAAAGAATAGAAGGAAAAAAAGTGAGATGTTAGATTTATTCTTAAAAATGATAAAATATAAAATAGTAAAAATAAAAAGTCCTATTGGAGTGATATACATGTATTTTTCTCTCTATTTTAACTTTTGGATAAAGATGTTCTTTATTTTGAAAAAGATGCTCTTCATTTTAAAGAGAACTATTGAAAATGTTGTATTGATAACTCGCCAAATAAAAAAAAAGAGAAATTTGGAGGCTGGTCCTATTATATGGATTTGTTTGGAATTAAGTCCGTCAAAGAAACTTATTTGTTATGAAGTTTATTTTTTGTCAATTTTATCATACTATCCCTTCCTTTTAGAAATGAAATAAAACTAAAAATTAAAAACTCCTAAATTTTAGGAATTTGATTAACATTAAAATATTTTTTCTCTCATATCTATCTATATCTATATATAGGCTAAAAGTTTGACTAATATTAAAATTTTTTCTCTCTTTTATCTATCTATATTCATATATAGGTTAGGTATATATATAGTAACATTAAAAATAAAAAATAGTAATATTAAAATACAACAAAAATTTATCATTTAGACATAAAAAATAATACATTTAAACACAAAAAAAATAGTAACATTTAAACATAAAAAAAATTAAAACATTCAATATTAATATTTTTAAAAAATAACAACAGTAACATGTTCAACAAAAATAGTAATAGGCTTAACAAAAATTGTAACATACTTAACAATAATTATTTCTTTCAAATTCAAATGCAAAAAATAGTATCATTAAAATACAAAAAATAGTAATATTAAAAAAAATTGTAACATTGAATATTAATATTTAAAAAAATAATAGTAGTAACATGTTCAACAAAAACAGTAACATGCTCAAAATAATAGTAACATGAACAGTAACATACTTAACAAAAACAGTAACATGAACAATAACATAATAAAAAAAATAGTAATATGAATTTGAATTTTACTATTCAAATTTATTGTAATTTTTTTTTTGTATTTTAATGTTACTATTTTTTATTTTTAATGTTACTATATATATATATAAATAGATAAGAGAGAGAGAAAATTTTAATATTAGTCAAACTCTTAACATATATATGGATATAGATAGATATGAGAGAGAAAATATTAATTTCTTTTTAAAGAATGACATTTTGAGATAAAAAAAATAAAGTGGATTTAAGTCATTACATATAATTTTAAATATGAATTTAACCCCTTATAAGTTTTCTTGCAGGACTTATCTCTAAACAAATACATCTAAGGGGATTCACTTCTAATTTTTACTAAAAAAAAAATGGATCTCACTCATTAAAATAACTACTCTTTCATGTAAGATAATAACTTTCTAATATAAAAAATAGTCATTTTATCCACTTATTTATTTAATATTAGACAATTATACCACTTGTTAATCCTGATAGACTATAACCATTACGCAAAATATTCATTTATTTATTCTCCTACTTAGCGTCTATGAAGCACGGATACGGATACGGGATACGGGTACGATATGATACGGATACGGCGATACGATAAAATTTTAAAAAATAAGATACGAGTACAACCAAGATATTGTTATAATAAAATATTTTTAATATTTTTATTATTTTTAATCAACTTAATACTTATATATTTGGGTAATTCTTTAACATATAATAAAGAAAATTTGTAATTTTTTTTAATTTCAAGAAAATATATATTGTGTCGCTGTGGTATATTTGCAAAGTAACGTGACTAATAAATAGAATCAAAGTTAATATTTACCTAGTATTTAAAAGTATTTTTTGCTAAAATTATAATGTAATAACCTTATTTTATGCTCTTTTGATATGTAATTGTAAATAATACTTAAAAAATATGCATGTGCCTTTAAAGTAATATGAATTTTTTGTTAATGTATTGTATGGTATGTGAATTCGAAAAAAGATGTTAAAAGTTCAACTTAAAAATCATATATGTTGTTCGATTACAAAAGTATCCGTGAAATATTCTAATATTTAATTATTATCGGATACGTAGAAGATGTATTCGATACGTATCCTAGAGTATCTGACGAGTATCGTAACTGATACAGGTACGTCAACCTCAATGAAGTATTCGTACTTCAGAGCTTAGCGTGACATGATTTGGTAGTTAATTTGACTTTTGGATCGAAATTCATCTCACAATTTTCGTCCCAAGGATGCACACTATGTGCGGTACGGATCCATTGATTTTTTTTTTCTTTTTTGGTGTTAAAACTACATACGTAAATAGATACTTCACATATCTGTTATGGAGTATTATCTTTTAAAATCACACAGTTATTTATAAGAGATCCCATTGCATCTACTTCTAATCCAAAGCTAAGGTCTCACCCTATATTTCGGGCGATAAAAAGTAGATTTAGTCCTACCAAACTATCGTAGTTGTAGAGGTTTAAATCCAAACATTAGACGCCAAAATCTAACCCACTATGCTAGTCTAGCTAGGTTCGTTCCCGAGAAAAGTAACGGGTGCGGCTAGGAGCCTCATGAACCCACCAGTGAGAGCCTATTGGGACGGTCTCTAAGCGCTCTCCCTTACCCTCGTTTTTCTTTTAACTAGCGGTGCAACTTGGCGCGGGTTGGGTGGGCTGAAAGGTCAACCTTAGCTCAACCCTACATGTAGAATCTTTAGCTTGAGCCCGAACCTGACTTCAACCTGAAGTACTGCCCAAATTGAATTCGAACAGGTTTGGGTTGAATTCGAGTTTTTTAATTCGGGTCTAAATTGGATTACAAATAAATCAAATAAATACAAAGAAATTAAACCAAAATATCCAAAATACTATAGCCACCATAATGCCACCACAACTACTACCTAAATCCATTGCCATTTACCACCATAACCACTTTCCATCGCCACCACAACCACTATGTCACTGTCCACAGAACCACCACACTGTGGACGTTTCCCACACAGCCACTAAATCTGACTATCGTTGTGGTCATCAGTGTCATAGCCACCAGATGACAAAGATGAAGGAGGCTAAGAGAGGGAAGCGAAGACGAAGGAGGCTGAGAGAGGGATGAGGTGCAGGGCAGAGGTATATGAGAATGAGAGATAAATTTGAGAGTGAGAGAGAGTAAGGATCCTGAGAGAGGAGTAAACTTGAGATTAATCTTAGAGATAATTTTTTTTTTTATAGTTATTAATTCGGGTTGAACCTGATTTTAATATTCAGGTTCAACCCGTGAACCCGATGCCTTAACCCGAGACCCGCCCAAATTAAATTTAGATTGAGGTTTTTGATCCCAAGTATTAAAAATCCTAACCCAAACTTTAATTTTTATGGATAGGCTCGAATTAAAATCGGATTAACCCGCCCAAGTTGCACCCTTACTTTTAACTAGCCAAAAAAAATAAGATAAACTCTTATTCATTTCTTCAAAGGTTGGGCTCTTTTGGAGATAGTGTTTGGAGTTGAACTTATTGGTTTTATTAGGCTCTTACGACTGCAATATAATATTGTGTAAACTATATTCAAAATATACATATACTCTCTTTGTGTGTGTTCATCCAATTTTTTTTTTTAAACTCCAATTTCATTTACAACATGATAATTAAACATGTGCATATGATAATTAATGGACACATTGAAAATGGTGTTACCAAAATTTAGGTACATGACTTACCTCAGCTATCCTATAAGAAACATGTGTAAATATTCATTGTTATTGGTGATACGTTGTATCATCAATCAATATATCATGTAATATATTTAAGATATTAGTTAGTTATTAAAATTACTAAAATAATTGGATTTTTACACAAATTATATATTATTATTCAAATATTATGTGTTACTGATAACATAATATTACCGTTACATTGAATCTTTTCTCGAGAATTTATGTGGTGAAATCTGTCCTCTCTTGTTTAGTTAGCATTGATAATAATGTGACTAATCAACTTTTGGGTATTTTATTAAAAAAATTAAAAATAATTCTAAATGCTAGATTATGATTGGAGTTATTTATAGCCATTAATCATAAAAATAATAAAATATTAAATTTTTACACATTTTCCTTGTAAATATATAAAAATATATATATAATATCAATTAAATTTTTAGTACGATAACGTAACAAATAGGGTAATGATTGTTAATTTTAAAAAATATAAAACTTTAACCCAACCAAAAAGGAGACCAATCAAAGGTTGCCAAGTCAATGACGGAATTTGTATGACAAATCACTGCAACAAAAGACAAAGCAAAAGCAAACTCTGCTTACGTTTTCTTATTTCTATTTATCTAAGCCTATGAATTGTCTCGCATTCATGTCGTGTGGCAGTTGATTCATGGTAAAAAAATATTTTATTTTTATTTAATTAATTTATGTCAAAAAAATCATATCATATTAAATTCGTATTATATATAATATATATGTAAACGACATATATTATATTTGTTTTAATTAATTTTACCTAAACTCTATTTGTTTATTAATAATATTATGTCGAATCTATGCATTTTCGAAACATGTAACTTAAGAAAGATAAAAAAAAATTGGTCATATTTAGTTTGCGTCCTAAAAAATAATGTTCAATATTTTTTATATTGCAGAACTTGTTTAGTTATATGATTTTAAAAAATGTTCTATGAAATAAAAACCAATAAAACTTTACAAATCAATAACTCAAAAAATAATTAAAATAAAAATGGGGCGGTGGATGGAAGTATGGTGGTGGTGGTGGGTAGTAGTGGAAGTGTGGTGGTGGTATCTTCTAAATTTTGAAAATGTTATTTTCAAAAATATAAAAAATAATTTTAACTTGTTCTTTAAATTTACCTAATTTTTATTTTTAGTATTAAAAAAAAATAAAAAATAACCGACTTATCAACTTTTCCCCCATAAATTATTTTCAAAAACATTAAAAAGTGTTTCTGAGATCTAAATCAAACATCACTTTTACTACTTTATATTGTATTCACGTGTTAATGAATTGTGGGTGATATATTGAGACTCCTCCTCTTATTACCTTATGAAAGGTGTAGCAAAGTCCAATACTGTTTCCTTTTGATTTGCCAAAGACTACCTGCATTTACTATTTAGTACTTACTGTACAGTTATTCCAAACTATAACATAGCATAGCAGCCAACGTGAAAAATAATGGCAAATTAAAAAGCTAGACTTTTGCTTACCGACGTAAACAGTTGTGCTTTTGGATACAATTCGTATCACTTTTTCAATGTAAAAAGTATATTTCAAAAGAGATTAAAAGGTATAAGTTTTTATAAAAAGGTGATAGTTTAATAAATAATTTTAAAATTATAATATTTCAAGAAAAAATATTATAATTGTCATTCACTGGCAAAAAAAAAAAAAGGTATATAATTTTTTTTAATTGAATTGAAAAAAAAAATTAATCGAATTACATGTAAATTAATTTGAATACTTTAATGATTAAAAAAAATTATGTATAATGTGATTTTGTATTATAGTATTCCTACTTGTTAGTTTTTCTGATTTAAAAAAAAATCTATTTATGTGCAAAAGAAGGATGTGTTTTTCTAGTTCCCCCCACATAGGAAGTGTAGTGTCTTTTATCAGATCTATTGTTGCACTTCTCTCTTTTTAGTAGTATCCAATGGACTGAGAGAGAGAGAGAGAGCACCTACTACTACGACACAATATCCATGAGTGTGTGTGTGAGAGAGATAGAGAGAGAGATAGTGGGAGTGATTACCATATTTTGGCTTCTCTGAGGTTGAGAGCCCTTCAGAGACCTTCAACCTTAGGTGGGCACTGATGATCTGAATCTAACTCTTCCTGTACATGAAGATTCTTTTTCTGGGTCTCTCTAAAAAAAAATGGCAACTTTAGACAAGTCCCACCATGTTGATTTAGAAGCTGGTGGTGGTCACCAACCAACCACCGCTGTGTCCGGCGGAGACAGTTCGCGCTCGTCCAACGCCGGCGAATCCTCCGGCGATGAGAGGAAAAGCTCAAGCCTCTCTGGAACTGAGATTGTGGGAGTTTCGGACAAGAGGAGGGAATCCTCTGTGTCAGAGTGTTCAGTGGAGGTGGATCTGGAAGCTGGGGTTCATGAAAACAAGGTACATTTGGAGATACCTGAGAGAGATTGTAGGATTTGTCATCTGAGCTTGGATGTAGCAAATCAAGAATCTGGAATTCCCATTGAGTTGGGCTGTTCTTGTAAGGATGATTTGGCTGCTGCTCATAAACACTGTGCTGAGGCCTGGTTCAAGATTAAGGGAGACAAGTAAGTACCCAAATCAAGTTAAAAATTTATGATCTTTACCTTATTCGCAGATACCCATTTCTTCTTCTCTCTCATTACAATTTAGGACTTAATTAGATTGGAATGTTTATTTTCTGTGGTTTATATTTTCTTCTGGTTTTTTAGTATGTGAAATTAGTAATGATCTTTGGGTTTGTAGTCTACTTTGAGGTGGTTATCATATGTAAACCTACAGGTCTATCCGAGATAATTGACCCCACTTTGAGGGTGTTTGAGGGAGTAGAGGGCACTGGTTCGAATCTGCTATCTAGCACTTGTAATCTATATAATGAAGTATAATAATAATAATAGGTGGTTATCATATGTGTTACTCATTTCTTCAAAGTTTTGACTCAAAATTTTCTGGGTAGTTTTTGATCTCAAAGATTGGTTAATTGTTGGAGAAATGAGGGCAAAGTGCTGGGTACAATATGAGACAACTAAAACTCAAAAAGGATAAAACTATGCTTTGATGTGGAAAAGGGCAAAGAATTAAAAAAAAATTAAAGTGGAAAAGCAGCTTTTGTTAGATGGAAATAATCGAGGGAAAAAAATGGTAAAGATGAAAGTGCCAGGTAGTTTGACTTTGTATGTCCAAGTCCAACTATACCGATGATTCGTCTGTTTTTAATATTACTGAATTCCCTTTATTTTTATTGCAATTGGGTTTTTGGCTTTGGCTTGATGTAACCCTTTTTTTGCATTAACGTATAGACTATGGAGCACTTGCAGCATTTTTAGAAGTGAACATTGACTCAGGCATACTGATTCCTTGTTTTCTATTTGCTGAATGTGAAACCCATGTACTCAAACAGGGTATTTCCTAGGGGAGGCATTTCTAGGAGTAAAACTGTGACATCTTTTGTCACATCAATTCATGCCTTTTAATTTCCACAGGTACTTTTTGTTGGGCAACTTGTTGGATTCCATTAGTGTTTCACAACCAGAGCCCATGAAAGGATCAATGATGTCGGTATGGTCACTGGTCGGCAATGCATTGCCCAGTGTACCAGATAAGATATTCAGTTTACAGCACTTAGTTTATTTTGAAGATGCTGTTTGAAGAATGCTTAATATCAAGCCTTGCATTGTCAATTCTTTGTGGTGTTTCATAATTGGGGATTTTGGTGGTTCTCTTATTGCTTACTTCTTGTAGCAAGTGTTGCATCAGGAAAAATTGTTATATTACTACCCTGTGTTCATGACAAAATGTATGCAGGCAAGCACATTGATTATCACACTTGGACCCTTTTGTTTGCTTGCTGCACCTCCCTCTCTTGAGACTCTCTTTTCTCCCCCCCCCCCTCTTTTTTTGGTAAACAATTTTCCATTTTTGTTACTGAGTCTTGGAATGATCTGCATTTTTCTCACCTTGGTGAACAATAATTTTGATGTTAGTATGGCTGGGCACCAAATGGCCCCAACGCCTACAAAGGCTTACCAATGCTTTTGTTTTTTTCTCCCAATTAGGCCATCATCTTTCATTTCTAATTCCAAATGTTTTAATTTATAATGTGCTATAGTCATCCACACTAACTAGTAATCACTATATAGGCAGTCCACTTGTCCTGCTCTGATTCTGAGCTTGTTAATCACTATATATAGTTGGCTATAGTTTCTTTCCTGCTCTGATTTTCAGTTTGTTATTCACTAAATATAGTTGGCGGTGGTCGTTGCTTTAAGTGTCTTGTCATTTTATTCATGGCTCCTTTAATAATGTTCAACGTTGGCAACAAAATTCCTATTGAATACTATTCCGACATGTCTGCATGAAAAAGTAAAATTGTTGTCAAGGCCTTTACCCTTTTGATATCTATTTATTGTGTCCACCCACACCCGTTTCGTTGTTTTCCTCCTCTTTTAGTGCAATTGACTTGCCCGTCTTGGAACACTTCTATTCTACCAGTATACACACACACACACACTATATATACATATTGCTCCTCTGCTTGTTTATTAAAGCTATTGATGCATCATTTCCATAAATTAATGCTCATGTCTTATGTGGTTCACTTCTCGGAAGTTCTAGTGAATATATGACTTGTGAGACCTGACCTGAACTTTCAACTGATAGGAAGATAAATTCTCATGTTAGAACTAGTTAGAATGCTGATCTTGGGAGTTAGGCGAAATTTGTAATCAAAATTCTTTCAAAAGCCGGTGATGTTCTCGATACAAATTTCCCCATCTTTAAAATGTGAATAATTAGTGTCACTATGGGCAGCTTCTATACTCTTTGACCATTTGCAAACTTTTACTTGGTGGTGGTTGTTTGTCCTCTATGTTAAGTAATCAATTTCTTGGGGCCATAAAGAATGATCCCTAAGCAGCAGGTAGAACCGGAGCATTTTACTTCTAGAACAATAGGGTTATCATACTCCTTGGTGAATCATTTCCTCTAAAATTATCGGAGTCAGTTTCTTTATTGAACATACTGTTCATCCGAGTCTTTGCACTGGGACAGAGTAAATATTTAGGGGGAAGACATGCCAATGCTAATGGTAAAAAGCGTTTTTCATTGATTGGTTAGTAAGTTGAAAGTCTCTATCACACAGTTATCTGGGTCAAACAGAAGCTGTAGCTTGAAAAATTAAAGCTAGAATTTGGGTGAATTCTGTTTGGTTCCACTTCTGTTATGATAACTAGGCTTTGCTACTATTCTGATGAGTCATTCTGTGGCCTATGCTGTCCATCCAAGGCTTAGCCATCCATGTAAAAAGGAGAAGGAGAGATCTGGCTTGAGGAGTTTCTGGAGCTCCATTTGGCTGCTTACAGAAATTAGGACCTGGCTTTGCTTCGTTATTTTTCTATTTCATTCTGCAGCTACACAACGTAAGGACATCCCAATTAAAAGAAGAACAAAGGTGTAAAGTTGCTCATAAACTATAGACTCTATCCTAATGTTGAGGCCCTTGTAAAAAATTTGCAAGCCTTAAACACCAGCATAATTGAGCTTTAGGAGTTTTTCTTAGAATTTTCTGTCTTAGTGGCCTTCGTTCCTGTTGTTCATTTGTGAAATCCATGCATTTCTAATGTTCTCAATCTATCTTGCTCCGTATATTACCCAAGCCCAGATTCGAATTTTTTTTTTTTGAAAAAAATCACACAATACACCCTCAGTTGTGATATGTCTGTGTCTTCAATTGTCAAAGAGCTGTGCTTCAACTACAGCAAGTGCAGCAACAGTAGTGCATCCACATGTTATATACTGTTTTGTTTCATCTTTTTATTTGTCGATTGTAAATTTGTTATGCTAATTCAACTGCTAGTTCTTTGATACATGAAATGGTATTTTCTATCTTCTTAACTTATTTTTTCTCTTTCCATTGGAAAGTTTAAAGCAATAACCTGTTGTCAATGTTGAAGAGCAATAATCTCATCCATATACTGCAGTAAAATGAATAATAATTTTTTTTTGTAGACCATTCTGTAATTAAGAAATTAATATTTGGAGCAGTTGGCAGGTTAAATAGATCCTGAGGATAAGGACCCCTCTCCTGTTGTGACTTTACTGGTTGGGAGTTAGCACAAATATGATTTCAGAAGTTCTTTAGTCCGAGACACTGAGCAAATATTTTCTTTGAATTAGGCCTTGTTTTGTATTTTATATTCTCCTCAGAAATGACATTCATTTGTTGTATTTGCTACTATGCTAAATAATTTTTTGGTTTTTATTTTTCTTTTTAATTCAGAACCTGTGAAATATGTGGATCAACTGCACGCAACGTCGTGGGTGCGAATGAGGCTGAGTTAATGGAGCAGTGGAACGAGGCAAATGATGCTGCTTCAGCTGCGGCTGCTGCACCTGCACCGTCAGCAGAGACCCGAAACTTCTGGCAGGGTCATCGGTTTCTCAACTTTTTGCTAGCTTGTATGGTTTTTGCATTTGTCATCTCTTGGCTCTTTCACTTCAATGTGCGATTTTGAAATGCTGGTAGAGGCTATGGAAAGGCAGTAGACAAGCCTTATGCCTCTCAGTATGTATTCAAGTATCTTTCTAGGAGCATTGCGCTCCCCACCTTTCGCCCAAGAAAAGAAAGGAAAAAAACCAATCGAACTTGTTCCTGTGTTGTTCATATGGTAATTAGGATTGAACAGACCTGTACCTCGTGTTGTATTATTTTTGGTTTTTTCTTTGTGTTGATCTGAAATGTTATTATGTGCTGTTGTAACTTGGTTTCTGTGGCTGGAGTATCAAGTATTTTAATTTTTCTTTGTCTCAACATTGTACATGTGGTTGATAAAGTTTGTTTGATAAGTAATTTTTTTTTAGTATTGCGGTCAGGAGTGTTCGGGTTAACTTATGCGTACCTTCGATTAATTTTCTCCTTTGTCTGATAAGTAAATTTGTGGAGATGCACAAGTGTATTTGTAGATAGCATCTTGTGGTTGGTAACCTCCCCTTTTTCCCTTTGTGTTTGTGTTTATTAGTAACACACTGTAGTCGCTGGTACTGCTTTTAAAAGTATCACACAGATCCAAAACTAGGGTACTAAAAAGTTATTTTTTAATACCTTATCAAGATTATTACATAATACAACTCATTCTTAAATGAAGTTGTTTCTGATTGATTCTAAATATCAGATCCATATTTTAGAACAATACATAAAAAATTATAATAATATTATTTAAACTTAATTTGTTGAGTAAATTCATTACAATTGTTGGATTGGTAGTGAGTTTCAAACAAATATTGATGGTCCGTTTGGTAGGATGGATAGAAGAATTGAAAGTGAGAGTCATACGCTTTTAATCATTCAGGGATGAAATTATTCATTCTCTCTTTGGTGTTTAGTAATATAAGATTGAACAAATTATTTTTATTTTTATTTTTTTGTAAAAAATATAAATACATATTTTACCATTACATCTATATATGAAATTAATTAATGTATATTTAATAATATGTAATTTTTTTTGAACATAAATAATATATAAATAGATAAATAACATACATTTTGTTTTGATCAAAAAAACATAACACACATTTTTACACTCATAATTAATTTTTCATTCACTTTTTCTCTCAATTTTGAAAGAATTAATTTTAATGAGTTAAGATAAAGTTTGTCCATCTATTTAATCTTTTTATTTTTTAACGTACCAAATGAAACACGAGGGTGCTGTTAATTCAAAAGTTATGAATAGATTAGGTACAATAACATTCTTTAAAAAATTATAATCTAAAAGTTAAAAAACTATAACTTTCAGTATACAAGCTAATTTGGTATCGTTCTTTTCACCACAAATTTGACAAGACAAGTAGCTGCCAAACCGCGCGTTATTGTTTGGTAATAAGGAGAGGGGGAACACTCTGGTACCCATTTTTATTTTTCGATATCAAATTAAAAAATAAATAAAAATGGTAAGTTTCACCCTAAACCCAAATAAATTCCAAAGTTGTCAGGCCAAAAAAAAAAAACTCAGAGTTGAGTGCACTGCAAAAGTGAATAAGTTTTACTTAACAAATGGTATAGATAAATAAGAAATTAGTAAATAATACGAGAATTTTATTTTTGATAATGTAGTCAAACCCTTTGACAAGAACTGTTTATATCAGAAGTGAGACGATCTCCGTTTATGTATCTAAATGTTATCATCGCCTTCAAAAGTTAGACTCTTCTGAAGTTAGTGTGATGTTCTACTTAATTCTTAGAGATATTTCTCTCTTCAACTCTATGAGACTAATCCTTCCCCAATATTCGGAAAAAAAGAAAGAAAAAGAAGACTATATTTATACTAGTGTTTGGATATAATCTTGATGGGTCGACGACAATGCCGTAATTGGCGGGGACAGTTCGAGAGGCTGCCATGATAGACAGCTCTTAGTGGGAATCCACATGCCTACTAATCTTTGTGCTGATCGTTACATATGACTATGTAACCAAAAAAACAAACAAGAAAGACGAATTTTAGAGAATACTTACCGACAATGATCAACCTTTGTTTGATTTATTTACGATTATTGATTATAAAAATTATATGATGAAAAATAATAAACAAAAATACTATGCATTATATTTTTCATTTTTAAAATTTTTTTTTTTTTTAAGAGAGGTGAGACTTGAACCCTTGATCTCAAGAAGACAAAACCTTCATAAGGTAAGGAGTACTATTGGACCAAAGGCCCATTGATGCATTATATTTTTTATTAGGACTTAATTTACTGACCTAATTCACTTTGACCTTTGGATTGACTATGGGTCCATTAAATGTTGAAACTTAGTGCTGATCTAAAAGTTTTGTCGAAACTACATCATTATGTCAGCAAATTAAGTTAGATTTTCAAGTTAAAATAGTATTACTCTTTTTCATATACTTTGGGCTCGTGGTTAAGATATGAAATTTAACTGTGTGTAAACATCATCAATCCATTCACATCAAACTAGTTAGAAACTCGAACCCGGGATTTCAAGAAAATAACAATTTCCATCTCATATAGTTTTTTCAATGATAAACCATTTATTGCGTATTGATAGTAGATTCATTTCTATATTATGCGTTTCACTTTAATTCATTATAAATAATCTACTAATTGGCAAAAATTCAGAGGGAAAAAAGGCGTAACAAAAGGATTAGTGGACCTATGCTACATGCACGTACTTGATTGGAAAGTTAACAAAAATTCGTTCAAACGTCACATAGTTGTTTAGTGTTTGACAAAGCATGCCTCTCTTATCCAAAGACAAGGAATCATCTAGATCAAGAATAAAATTAATTTAATTTGAATTGAGTAATAAGTCTAGATATTAAAGATAATTTAGTACATGTAAATTGCTAAAGTGGCATTTAGCATGTCATACTTGGTATAAACAAATGTCATATAATAGATGGTATTTAATGAGGCATGATCGGTATTAATATCTAAAAATGACAAGAGTGTTATTATAGACTAAAGATTTATGCATTGATATAGGTTTTTTTTTTTTTTTTGTCTTTTTAACTAAATAACATACATTAATCCCTTATCCAAATATGAGATTGAAGTTAGAATAATGAGATCATAATTTATCGAAACCTTGCTTCAAACATGATTCAATTGGAATATGATAAAATGATTAAACAATTATTACCCCACTATGAATTAGAATGAAATCAATCGTTCAATCTGATTCTATGTTATAATTATCATCTCCAATTAGTATTTAGATAAGTGTTTCTTTCATGTCTTCAATGTTAGATCTCATTTTATGATCGATGGTGAATGATGGTGAACACATTTTGAATACAATATTTGTCTTCATGATTGGCGATGGTTTGAATAATTGAGGTATGAGCAGCGGTCCTGTTCAAGCGAACTATCTGCTACATGTGAGATCTTGGTGAATAAGGGTAGGGAGACTGGAGTAGATTGAGTTTTAATAACACTGAGGTAAATGAAGGGAGCTGAGTGAGCTCGGTGCTCTTTGTACAGGGTATGTGGATGTCTGTTGTAATCGCACGATAAGAATAAGAAGTAAAAATACAAAAGGATGAGTGGTTCACCATTTGAAAATTTTAGTTAATCCACTTTAATGGAGGTTTTAGTTCCTATTTTTTTTAGTATTGCTCAAGGAAGAAGAAACCAGTTGATTAGAGAGGAATAGATCCCTTAGGGCATCTCTTTCTATTTATACAAGGTTAGGTTTTTGTCTTCTTCCATGAGTGTGTGGTCTCCGTATTTGGTTAGAATTGATGGGCCGACATAGACCATACCCAAATCATAGAACCATCCGGCTCCTTGTTACGAGAATGATGTCTCAATCAAGGGCTCCCTCGAGGCTGTTATAAAATTTTACTTACCTATAAATTGTAAGTTCCGCCTATACATGGGGGCATTACTCATCTCTCAGTACTCTACACACCTTGAGTAATAAAACTCTCCGGCCACCGCAGTTATTCCCTATGAAGTAAGTCACTTAGACCAAACAACCTAATTTGTGTATATGATTGTGTTCAGCATACCCTTATCACATATTTTGATGATGCACAAATTGAGTTTGTACACCATTTGTCAATTGAACAATAAAAAATGCAGTAATTGATAAGTGAGAGATAGAGATAAAAGTAAGACAAGGTTTATAGTGGTTCGCAGTTTGACCAGACCTGCGCTGACTTGGTTGATGAACACTGACCCAAATACCATTTGCACATGGCTAGATCTGGCTAACACCTTTATGATGCACTATGCATACAATACGGCATTTATCAAGGCGTAAGCTAGAACTCGTTAAGTAAGGAAAAGGGAGGGGGAACCAAAATATCGGTGTTTGGCATCGGTGTTTGAATGGCTAGGATTGCCAAGTATTTTTTTTACTCAAGTGTATAGAGTAGAGAGTTACAAGCTATGAAAGGGAGTATGATGCCCTCCAAATATTGGCGGAGTTTACAATTTATAGTCGCTTCATAACGGATTTTGGCGACTTAATTGTAATTAAATAGTTAATCTGGCGATCATAACGAATTAGGGTGATTTAATAGTAATTAAATAGTTGATCCGATAGAGGTGGTGACCTCTTCTCAACGGGAGAGGCGGTTACGGTGCTCTCCATGAGATTTGGTCAAAGATGAGGTGAGAGTTGACTCTTTTAAAAGTGGCGAGGATGGCCTTGAATGACTCTTACTCCCCGGTGACTAATAAGAGACTCTTGGATGACCCTTACTCTAAGATGGTTAGAAAGAGACTCTTGAATGACTCTTGCATGCTCCCCTGCTGATGTAACTCTGCGAACTTGATTAGCTTAATCGGACGTGAACCACTTTGGGAGTTGGATCTTTTGGAGTTGAACTCTTAATTTAAACTGAACTCATTACATGAGTTGGGCCCTTGGGCCTGACCCATCTTATTTAATTAATTTTATATAAACACTTTTGTACATTGAGAAATATTTGATCATTAAAATTAATCATATCCATAGGACACTTGGGCTTCTAGAAGAATGAAATCACATTCTTGAGGCGATAGCTTGCGGCACAAGGTAGGATAGACTTTTTGAGGTCTTCCTTTTTTTCAAGTAGCTAAATCCAAGCTAGTATCATTGTAGCCGTGTTCAAAATGGATACGGCACTAATAATATTGCTCTACTATGACTTGGGTTATACGAGCTCTAAATCATAAAAAAATAATAAAAAAAAAAAACAGTTACTCCGCGAACGGAATAAGCTTGCTAAGAAGGTGTGAGTTACCCTCATCCAATCGGAAGAGTTTGTATAAATCAAACTTTATAGAAATCCTCAATCATTTCTAACTTCACCTCTAACCTACCTTTCTTTTTTTTTTTGAACCACTCTAACCTTCCTTAACAAGTTATTGATTTCGTATCAACGTGCATGGAGTGATTAAACAGTTTTCTAAGCACTTTGTTTGGTTAACTACTATACGTGTCTCGACCACAAGCTGCGAGGCAGTTGATATATATGGACGCTAATCATATGGTAAAGGAAACATGAATTAAAAGACCCTACTCTTTATTGGTATCCCCGTCAAGGTATTCGGGTAAGTGTATGTGTAATTTAATTAATTTTTTTTTTCGGTGTAGTTAAAAATAGACCATAAAATTTATGAAGGATAAATTTTAATTAGTATCATTTTTTGGCCTAATCCATATTATCATGAATATAGATCTCTCTTCGTAAACTTTTTCCTTTACTTCTCTTGAAGGTGGATTATTCATTGTTTATTAATTAGAGACCACTGATTTGTATTTAAAGGTAGATTATCTACCATTAAGGGAAATTATTTTTTCAACTTCTAGGGCTTGACGTACATTGGCTCAAAAGTCAATATTATTTAATCAAGCCTAATAGAAAATTTAGAGAGAGAGAGAGGGGGGGGGGGGAGGGAGAGAGAGCGTGCGGTCATCAGAAAGAAAAAGAATTGCATGTTGGACATGTCCACGGTGGGTTGGCCATGTTCTTTACCAGCTTCAAGTTTCAACCTTCAAGACTCTATCTTTGAATCTAAGACTCCCCCTCTTTAGAACTCAAAGTCACTCCTCCCCATTGAAAACCAAAAGCCATAGCCATCCAACTTCCCAGCTTTCTGTGCCTACCGTTTCTTCTTCTTCATCTCTCGCCTTCTCTCCCTCTGCATGATATTGATATGATGACCTTATTCCCCAACTTGGATCGAGAAGACAGACTCGACACTGTGCTTGAAGTCCCAATCCCAGCAGAGGTGTTCTCTTTCAACAATAAGAGCAGTCCATGGCAAAATATGAAGTCATGGGTCAAATCACACACCGAAAGGCCACCACCGTCTAGCTTCAGAGCCCGAAATACAGAGATTCAAATACTGCTCGGCGTCGTTGGTGCTCCACTTATCCCTTTTCCCATCCGCTTTGATCACCCCATCAACAAAACCATCAAAGACCATCCCATCGTAAGTCATGAGACATGCCCCTCTCAGTTCTTTTTTTTCAAACATGTACAGTCCCTAATGAATTATGATATATGCAGGAGGCTTCAATGGCAAAATATATAGTGCAGCAATATGTAGCAGCGACGGGGGAGAAAGGGCTTTGACCTCCATTGATAGCATGTACGCAATGGGGAAGGTGAAGATGGCGGCATCCGAGTTCATTGCAAGGGAGGGATTGAGTAACAGTAAGGTGATGAAGATGAAGAGTCTGAGAAATGGAGGAGGAGAGATGGGAGGGTTCCTGTTGTGGCAAAAGAGGCCTGATTTGTGGTGTTTGGAGCTAGTGGTTTCGGGGTGTAAGATCAGTGCTGGTAGTGATGGTAAGGTGGCTTGGAGGCAGACTCCATGGCATCATTCCCATGCATCTCGTGGTCCACCTAGGCCTCTTCGTCGTTCCTTACAGGTACTCTCTCTCCTTTCTGTTTGTTCTAATTAGGTGTTAAATCACCAAAGCACCAATTCTTAGTTCTTTCCCATTCTCCCTAATTCGATTATTACCATCTAGTGATGAAGATCTGCTTGAACATGAGTTTACCCTTTTTATGGTCACCTAATATTGTGCTTATGACGAACTTTCAATTCAATCGCTATAGTTGTTTACATCCTCAGATTAAATGTCCAAATTATATACAAATTGCATTTTCCCTCGATTAAAGGGCGAGAAGAGATTCTTAGTAGTTGTTTTTTTCACTGGTTGCCAGCATCAACGGCTGTACAAAGATTCTGGTTAGTTGTTGGACTGTTACCTACCGGGAACTAACTGACAAAATTACTATACCATATTTCCTTGTGATTCTTTGACTATAAGACAGGAGAATTTCAGGGCCTACCCTGAATTCCACGTTTACGGCCACTCATTTATTTGTCTAATTTCTGTGTGGTCCATTCTCATTCATGTCCACCATTCCCTTCAGTCTGCCAAATAAAAGTGCTCTCCAGTCTGCCAACTATATATATTAGCCACTGGAGTTCAATGATCTGGTATAAATTCAACATTATGGTTGGTGTGAAAACAAGTCGTTTGAGTCATTGCTAAAAATGAGTTGGTAATCCCACAAATTCAAACCTCTTGACCCGATGAGATGACATATAGGTGTTGCAATAGCTGGCATGGACAAATCACAGCCCAGCAGAGAATCTAAATCCAAAGTAAACCTCCAAGTCCTCTGATTCTTGAAGGCCCATCATTGTGAGACATTTCTATTATTTTCACTAATCATTTTTGTGTTTAATCGGTGGAAAAACAGGATATATATGTAGCTGATCACTCCAAAGTCCAAATAGTTGGGATAAAAGTTTTGTTGAATTGAAGTCGTGAGTTGTAGTTATCATTTTTTGTATTTACCGTTGACGGTCTGAGATTGATCACTTATAATTGAATCCCCAACAGGGTCTTGATCCAAGGTCGACTGCAAAACTATTCTGTAATTCCATCTGCACTGCGGAGAAGACTGTCAACGATGAAGACTGTTTTGTATTAACGCTTGAAGCAGAGTCCTCAATACTAAGGGCCAGAAGCAATGGCAATGTTCAGATAATCAGACACATTGTTTGGGGATACTTCAGCCAAAGGACAGGCCTTTTAGTGAAACTCGAAGACTCTCACCTCATTAGAATTAAAGGCCCGGGAAATGAGAGTGTCTGTTGGGAGACAACCATGGAATCACTAATCCAGGATTATCAAACAATTGATGGTGTTAACATTGCCCATGGCGGTAGGACTTGTGTTTCGCTGTTGAGGTCTGGTGAGAACTCGGAAGGCCATTCCAGGACGCGTATGGAAGAAGTTTGGACAATTGAAGAAGTGGACTTCAACATTAAGGGACTGTCCACGGACTGTTTCTTGCCTCCTGGGGATTTAAAGAAAGAGGAAGAGGGATGTAGTGCTATAACTAGCGTTGTTGCGACGGGCAATGCACGGCTACCATTCAAGATCAGAGCCACTTCTTCAAGGCTTGGTGTTGCGAAGTGTGTTGTCAAGGTTGTGGCTATTGAAGAGGATGATTTGGAGAACATTGAGGTGGATGAAGAGTTGAAAATTTAACATATATTCCATCTGTTGTCTTCTTTTTGTAAATATAGCGTCACACTATGTATGTTCAACTTAGCTACCAATGGAATTGATAGACTAAAATGAAAAGCGGTTCCTCCGTGCAAGATTTTCGTATTTCGTGTTATGGTACGCTGAAACCAATAAATATGGAAACATAATACCCTCACCAAATTGAAAATGGAACTGCCAAAGGAAGAAAAGTTGTTAAACTTAAAAAAGAGTTATTCAATATACAAAATTCTCGTCACCGTAAAAACTTGAAAAGGATAAGAAAGCAACTAAGTTATCCCACCCCACCATATGTATGCAAAACTTGTGCCCAGAAACCTTAACCCAGAAAGTGTTCATTTGCAGTACAGGGAACTGAAGAATTATGGTTGGGCTGGGGTTCAGCTTTCCTCTCAAGTTTAGTGGGCCAAAACCACTTTGCAAGACCAAGCCTTGAAGATCCAAGAACAAAGTCGGTTCATTTTTAACCATGTTTCAAAATATATTCTAGGCTCTAAATATTGACTTGGGCTGCTCAAGTGGGTGCAAATTTGCCATGCAAAATGACACTTTTTTCTTACATCAGCCCTATTAGTCGGAGGAAAATAACGAGATTCGAATTGATTAAATTTTAGGATTAAATTTAGAATTCACATGACATAAAAGTTAATTATTTGTAGTTTTTATTATGACCTAAATGACATAACACCAATCAAAGAAGTCCAAATCAATTGTCATGTCATTTGAACTTCAAATGTGATCCCAAATTTTAGTCAATCTAACATTACTGTAAGATTTAATAGTGCGGGCAGTGCATATTAGATCAATTGCCGATCTCCAATGACACGTCGTTAGAAAAGGTGAGATTTGTGAAAGTTTGTCACACTTAAAGGTGTTAACTTGTGGGGTTAAACAGAATCTAATTCGTGTGGAAAATCAATAAATTCATATATGACTCATTTAAATAAATAAGTGAAAATTTGTAAATCAAACACAATTTAATTATTAAGCAGGTTAAATGACAAAATTTGTTTCGTCCGTTTAATAGACGAATCGTTTGACATGTTTAATTGACACAATAACTTTTTTAACCTGTCACTCGTTTGTCCCGCTTAGTTGAATATCCTCTAAAAAATTATTATTAAATTTATTTTTAAACTAATTTAATTAATAACCACATATATTATTTTATTTAATTTTTTTGAATAATTATTAATTTATTATTATATTAATTTTACTTAAACGAATTAACATATTTCACTCAAATACGACTCGTTTATTAAATGAGTTTGATGGGTCCACTCGTTTATTATCTCAAACCTAACGAGACAACGTCAGAATCTTCTTAACTCTGTCAATTCATGTTGAATAATTGTGTCACGTCTAATTTTGACAAGCCTAATGCCAATGGCTGGATGTGCTGGGTTTGGAGGTGAACAAGATGATTTTTGAATTTGGAAGGTCCTTTCCAGTAAATTCTAGAAAGTATCGTCCTTCATGGCAATTAAAACGGTATCACAAATTCAAGAACGTTCTGGAATCAGAACCCTCTCGAACCACGACCACGATGTCTAATCCTCTTTATAAAAACCGCCCCACAAGTATTCTTCTTCTCAACGAAGCAAATCGTCTTATCCAAAACATCAGAATTATTCTTGCGTTTCTATCTCATTTTCTAGCTTTCCAAACGCCCCCAAAATGTCTCTGATACCAAGCTTCTTCGGTCGCCGATCAAACAACTTTGACCCTTTCTCTCTCGACCTGTTCGACCCCTTTGAGAATTTCCCATTCCGTTCTCTATCCAACTTCCCCTCCTCCTCCTCAGACACGGTGTCGTTCGCCCACGCGAACATCGACTGGAAAGAAACTCCGACGGCGCACGTGTTCAAGGCCGACGTGCCGGGGCTGAAGAAGGAGGAGGTGAAAGTGGAGGTGGAGGACGATAGGGTTCTGCAGATCAGCGGAGAGAGAAGGCAGGATATGGAAGAGAAGGGTGATACGTGGCACCGGGTGGAGAGGAGTTCTGGAAGGTTCGTAAGGAAGTTCAGGCTTCCGGAGAATGTCAAGGTGGAGCAAATCAAGGCGGCAATGGAAAATGGGGTTTTGACTGTGACTCTGCCCAAAGAGGAGGTCAAGAAGGCTGACGTGAAGGCTATTGAAATCTCTGGTTGATCAATTAACTGATTCCTCACTTCAGTATTCTAGGTTTCTTGCTGTGTTAGTACTTAATGTTAGGGTTGTTCCCAATGGTATGGTATATGTGTTGATGGTGCTTTTGTCTGGGTTTATCGCTTATTAGCATCTGGTGGTGGTCTTCGTGAGTTTTGATGTGAGAATAATCTGGGGTTTTGTAGTTCGTATCAGTTTGTAAATGCGGGTATATAATAAATCGTATGGGTTGGTATTGAAAGTCATTTCATAACTCTTGTTCTTCTTCGATTTGGGTAAAATTTTTGTTATCAAGGGATTTGTATCAGTCGTTTTTCTCTCTTCAAACAATAGGACATCTGATCCATTTTGATGCTCCCATCTCTTGTTCATTGCAGCTCAATTACGAACCCATGTTGAAGAAATTAGAAGAGACCTTGAAAGTTGAAAGACGGGTGAAATCAAATATATTCAGGTATTCTTCCAAATCTAGGTGTTAATTTGAGGTAAACTCATTTAGAGGTTAATGGGGTTATGAGGAGAGCCAAAAGTGTTAACCAGAGAGTGCCCTCTCTGGGCGTTGAGGTCTGTTCTATGAAGAATGAACTGTAGCTTAAGTAAAAGAGATCAGTGGTAAATTGATGTTTTGAATTTAAATTTTGGTAAATGTTTAGGATTAGAGAATTTATTCTACGCTAAATCTGAATTAGACACTCTTTACCTTAACGTTAAACCAAAAAAAAGGAAGAACTAACTTTAAAGAACGATTAGATCAGTCCTACAACATGGAAATTCATTAGTACATAGTACATACACTTACTTGCAATTGGCCTCTACCTGTTTGTTTGGAGTGAAATATTGAATTTGATGATAGCCACTTACTGGCATGAGATTTCATCACCATTGCCACATGAAGACGGAGAGAATGGGCTTATTGCTTTCTGAGGAGATGATCTACACGTTTTTCGTAGGTATTTTCGTTTTCCATATGCCCTGTTTATGTATCCATAGGATGGCGTTTCTATTTGCACTTACTAATCACCTTGTTCGAATTCATATTCTCCTGGTATCTTCGACAAACTTCGATATTCTAGAATCTTCAAAATTCACAAACCAAATGTTCAATCCTCTGAAACTGTCTCCTTTCTTATCATCATCATCTCTAATTACCAAAAGTTTGGTCCATTTACCGAACAATACAATGAAAAAAAAACTCCATATAATATGGGGATGATGTGAAATGATTTTTACCAATATTGAACTTCATTATTGTGGAAGGTTGAATCAGAGTGTATAGGCATAACTGTTTAACAAATGAAACCAATACTGCTTTCTGAAGAAATCTTGGATAAGAAAGAACAGAGTTCTTTCATTGAGCAAAGTCCCCTTGGCAGCTAAAGAGGTGGAAATTACTTATGGATTACATATGGGTTGATCAGCAGTTGTAGACAAATAACAAGAAAATAAAATAAAAACTCATCTTTTATTGAATTGTTGATGAATTATCAAATTCAAAAGATGATTTGATGGTTGTGCCCTTTCGTCTCTAGACATTATGTGGGGGTTGTTTTCTTCCTTGATCACCAGATTTTTTCTTAGAGACATTAAAGTTGAGAGCTGACAGCGGCTGGTTGAACATCTGCATCAGTTGCATTGGAGTTTTTGGAAAGAAGTTTACAGTTTGACTACTACCATGAATGTTTCCAGTAGCACAAAACCACCAGCTTATATTACACACAAGATCTTGTTAGGTGCACTTATTAAACATAATATGCAACACACCATAATTTACAACACAATCTCCCAAACCAAAAACCCTTGAACATTTATATACACTGCATTTCCTATCAACATCGACCTTGAAGAACTTAAAACATCTAATAACGTTGTTACGTTGATATAACAGACTTTCACAGGTGAGTGAGACCAAAGAGACTTTTAACCAGTGACCTCAATGGACTTGGTCTCAGGCTGCCTCTCTTGTTCTTTTGGCACGATCACAGTAAGCACACCATTCTCCATGGTAGCCTTAACTTCATCAAGCTTTGCATTCTCCGGCAACCTGAACCGTCGAACAAACTTGCCAACGGTCCTCTCAACTCGGTGCCACGTGTCGGCCTTCTCTTCTTCTTCTCTCACTTTCTCTCCACTGATTTTTAGAACTCGCCCATCTTCGATCTCGACCTTCACTTCCTCTTTCCTGAGTCCTGGAAGATCAGCCTGAATGATGTGAGCCTCCGGAGTCTCTCTCCAGTCCACACGAATGTTCGCCAAGGCAGAGACGTCGCGAGTGCCAGAGGAAGAGAGACCCTCGAAGGGGTCCCAAATGTCTAGAGAAAATGGGTCGAAGATGGTGCTTCGTCGGCCACCGAAGAAGCTTGGTATTAGCGCCATGGATGGATTTGGATGTTGTTGATGAAAAGGATAGGGATGAGCAAGCTATATATAGCAGGAAAGAGATAAATGTGGGATAATCTGGGATCTTCTTAGATACTTAGCTCCAGAATAATGCAGAGACGACGAAAAGAAAGAGTTCTCCTATATTCTACTGTTCTCGTTTAACTTCGATCGGCGATACCTTCGGGCTCAATCTACATGGGCTTTATGGACTATGGTCCATCTTTATTTTCGTTTAATTATACCTTGATTTTGTAAAATTTGTGAGTTACTAGGATAAATCCGTCATTTAATGAGAGAGACCCTAGAATTAATATAACTTAATTGGTTTATGGCCTAACTTTGATCAGGTTGGGAAAAATATTATTCGAGATGCGCGCTTAAATTAACTTAATTATCCTTGATTGTTGAACCAAAAAAGTAAAAAGAAAATAATAATAACAAACTTGAAAATGGACAAAGTACACTCCATTTTTGTAACCACGTAGATTATTTTCTTACATGAACTTGGTAATTACTAAAGGAGTCCACTTGCTTACTTGTTTCTAGCAAGAAAAATATTATTTGGATCTAATTTGAGAACTTACTTAACTGAACTGTTGGATTAAAAGTGAATTTCATTTAATATTATAACTCATAACTAATCTAATGATTATATTAAATTATGTCCAAATTAGATTTTAATAGCATTGCTCTTCTGACAAAAGGTTATGGTTATTTTTTTGTGTAGAAGGGACTATGAGTTTGTTTGGAGCTTGTTGAAATAGGTTAATTTTGTAGCCTTTAGAATAAAACAAATCAGATCCGTTTGAACTTTGGTTTTTTTGACCAAGTTTAGGCAATAGTTTTTTGGACCTAAAATAGTTTATTTAGACTGATTTAAGAAGTTGTTTTTATGAGGTTTTTTTTTTTTGATTTTTTGGAGTTCAGTCGTGGGTCTCACATAACTTTTAAATTTATTATATTCATAAAATATTTTTAGCGACATAAAAAAATTTAAAATTCATATTTTGGGAACTATTATGCATAATCTATACATATATATAATATTTTTTTATTTTAACAAAAAAACTATAAAATAGAGGTGTCAAACGTGTCGTGTTCGTGTGACCAGCGTGTCGTGTTCGTATCAAGACTCACAAAAAAAAGTTCTATTTAGTGTGTTTTGAGTATTAAACATTAGTTTAAACTATTTATTATACGTATTTAATAATTATATTAATTTTATAATCATTCATGTCGTGTTCGTATCAACGAATTTGAGTTGACATCCTTACTATAAAGTCACTTAAAATGGATTTTTTCAACTTTGTAAAAAATACTCCAAACGATTTTGAGGAATTTTTTTAACTTTGACTTTTTTGCAAAAAATTTCAAACCACAATTTCTTACCTAAAAAAGTCAACTCTAAATAGACCATATGTCTGATTAATAGACAAACCTTAAAAAGAATTACTTACTCCTCAGCTGCAGTCTGAGATATTGAATTCTGGGGTTGTAGTATCAGATTAGGCTGATAGGAGAGTGTGATTGCTAAGTTTATATGGGGACAGAAAATTTTTCCTAGTGCTCAATATTGTGGGTGGAAAATTTATAGGAATGCTTTGTCTCTGGATTCAAGAGTCCAGAGTGTGGGTGTTTTAATGGCAAGCAGGTGTCATATGTGTATACTAAATGAGGAAAATTCCTCTCATTTGTTCATTGGATGCCATTTTTCTTAAGCTGTCTGGGAGAGAGTGGCTACAATTATGGGTTTTGAGGTGCTAGATGGAGAATCACCTATGTGCAGATTTTTGAGATTGGTAAGAAGTTTCAAGGCTCAGACTTTGAGTCATGGACTGGTTAGAGGTGTGGCCTTGTTGATTTTTTGGGCCAGTTGGAGAGAGAGATGTAGGAGAAGGTTTGAGGGGGTTTCTTTGAATACATATGCTATATATTTGCAAGTGGTCAGTGCTTTGAGGCTACAGGCTATTCTGATAAAGCCTAAAAGATCAGATGATGGTATGGGAAAGGAACTGTTGATTGATTTGAAGATTGGTTCATTGTTTATCATGGAGAATAGGGTGAAATGGATTAAGTGGGAGCCTCCTCCTGAGGGATTAATGAAATTGAATGTTGATGGGGCTTCTAAGGGAAGGACTGGTCTGTCTGGTGGAGGGATAGCGATGAGGGATTGCGAAGGGCATGGAATGTTAGCTGCTGCCAATTTTTTTGGGCTGGGTTCTAATATGAAAGCAGGGGGTCTGGCTCTATTGGATGGACTTAATTTGATTATGCAGTATGGTTTTGCAGGATATCAGATTCTCATTGAATCTGATTCACAAATACTTGTTCAGATGGTGTTGGGGATGACAGAGGTACCATGGAGATTGCAGGTTGTTCTAGAACGGATTAGCGGTTTGTTTGATGCTATGCAGGTGCAGATTAAACATATCTACAGGGATGCTAATGCAATAGCTGATTTTTTAGCATCTTTTGCTGTTCAAAATGGGAGATCTACTGATTTTTCAGGATGTGGGATATTACCACTTGCTGGAAGGTTGCTGTTGCTAAGAGACCAGAATCTGCTGCCTACTGCCAGACTAAAAAGGGTTGTTATCAGAGGTACTTTACCTCTTTAATGACTCAAATTGGTGGTCATCTGAGCTTAGAAAATGCAGCAGTTGCACAGGAGTTTTGTAACTGTTTTGTCTGGCGTTTTGTAACTGTTTTTTGTAGCAGAATTTCTGTTATAAGGCAGTTACTTATAACAGAATTCCTGGGAGATACTTGTAACAGAATTTTCTATTTTTCTGTTAAAACAGTTTCTGTTTTTAATTCTTGTAATTTTTGAGATTTAATCAATAAAAAATATAATAGCGTTGGTTAAAAAAAAAAAAAAATTGTTCTTTGGGTTTGATCTTAATAATAACAATTAAGATTAATCTTAATATAATAAGATTGATCCTTAAAAAACATAACTTTTTGGGGGTCACGTTAAAATTTTTGAAGTTCAAGTTATAATTTTTGTGAGATTGAAAATTGTAACTTTTTAAGTTACTTGAGATTAATCTTGATAAATAAAATATGAATACTAAATTTTTAAGGTTGATCTTTAAAATCTCAAAAAAAAAAAAATATAAATAAACACGAAAAAAATTGTACATGAATTCTTAAAAGGTTGTACTTGGAGATAAGATACCAAAATGTGTTTTTAGTACCAAAAAATTCTCCCTATTTTTATGGTTTCAAGTAACGTCAGTCACCTTCATGTAACCTTGGACCAACCTCTAAAAAAGACCTCAATTGAGCTACGTAAGTGTATAATATGTTTGTAGAACCAACAAGTGTGGTTTGAGTCTTACGATCAATATTGGAGCTCTGTAATTGATTGTTGTGCTAACTTAACTAGGTTCGTTTCCAAAAGGTATAACGGATACAGTTAAGAACCTCGTGATTCTACTAGTGAAGGCCTATCGAAAGGATTTCTAGACGCTCCTTTTTGTCCCACCGTTTTTTCAACCAGCAAAAAAAAAATGTCCGTCGAGTAAATGAAAGCAAATGTGCAGGATTGGCTTTCAAAAGGGTAGGTAAAAGGTCAGGATATGGTTGTATTATTCTCTGGCATTAGCATCCTCTCCATTCTCTGTTTCTGTCTCAAAACTGAAACATATGGCTTTTTCTACCTCAAGCTTAAAGACATTAGGATTCTCCAAATCTTACATAATCATGATTATTAATTTATATGGTGTCACTATTGTGGGTGTGTCAAAGTATTAGCTTATTTAGGATTGTGGGTTTGTCAAAGCATGCAACGAACTTAATAACTTAAAATTATTAGGATTTTACCTATTTGAACCAACATGAGATTTTAAAATCGTGAGTGTTCAGGCAATTAAAACAAAATGTAAGATTACGTCTAGATTTTTTTTTTTGGCTTGGAGATCAAGAACTAAATGGAATCGGAGCAAACAATAATTTAAGTAAGGCAGAATTGTTGTATAAACTATTGTACTTGAATTAAAACTTAAAAAAGTCAGAGTAATGACGAAATTGTAAAATAAAATAAAAAGTATAAACTAAATCACATGGAGAAGGGCTCTGGTATGTTGCTTGTAGGAATGTAAATCATGGATTTTTTTTTTTTTCCTGTTGCCAAGTCCTCTGTATTTATAGGCTCTGACTTCTAATTGTTGGGATTATCTTTTCTCGTCGTTAAGAAGGTGTTCATGGCCTCTTACTCCAACGACTATGAACATGTGTTAAAATTGTCCGTAACCAACGGCTCCATGACGTGACGTCTAACGTGCCTCTTCACTTTTGGAGATCTTTGAAGATTTTTTCTCATAACTGTCTTATTCCTCTGGACTTGCTTTGATTCAATTCTAATCGTCGACTCTGATCACGTAACCTTTTAAATATTTTAATATAAACAGCAGTAAATTGAAATTGCTTGCAAACTGAAATTATCTCGCGATTAAAAAAGGTCATTTGATATAATTGGAATGACGACTATTAACATACTCCTAAGAATAAGGTCCATAGGTGCAATGTTTTCCTGCATTTTGTCTTGGAAAGATAATCTTCTTGAAGTGTTAACTTTGGACAATAAATTTTATATCTTTTAGATTAAACATGTGGAAGCTAGGAATAGAATTCTTGATGGTAGTCCTTATTTATGTTGGGGTAAATTCATGGTTTTGAAGCAAGGACATTTAGATATTAAGCTAACGAAAATTGAATTTTCTAGCTAAGATATTAAGCAATGGCATCCAGATATTAAGCTAACGAAAGTTGAATTTTCTAACATTCTAATATGGGTCTAACTTTTTAATGTTACCCTCCACTTATGGACTAAAGAAGATTTTGGCTACTTAGGCAACATTATTAGAAAACCTTTGCACCTAGATTTCCCCACTCTTTCTAGAAGCTTGATTACTTTTACAAGGATGTGTCTTGAGATTGATACTTCTAAGGATATTCCAAAGTCCTTCAAAATTAAGATGGGTGAGATTACACATGAAATCTTAGTTGAAATCGCTTAGATGCCTAAAAAATGTTCA